TGATTTAGATGGTGGTGAAAGGCGCTTTCAAAATACAAATACATCTTTCTTTCTCAATCCATTGATCTATTACTCTCTCTGCTCATGGAAATGGATTCTTCCCATTCACTCTATTTCTCAATAATGTAGTTCAATTCAATCTCCGTTCTGATCAAATACAGGATGACAAGAAATATAAGGGTTGTGGCACGGACAAGACAAGCCGAATGATCCTCTTTCCTTTTGAAACCATTCCATGTGAAATGTTAAAATACAGCATCTCCCCTGTAGTCATGGCCGAGTGATTGAGGCCATGAATTAAAATCCATTGGGGCTTCCCTGCGCATGTTCAGAATCCTACCAACTGCATTCCCTGAACATGTATTTTTTTTTCAAATAACCTTCTGATCAATGAGCTCTCTCTCAAACGCGAGAAAATCCGTCTCACCAATCCACCGGAGAGTCTGGTCATTTATTGACATTCAGGAAACAAGAAACTTACCATAGTCAAAACTTTAGCTCTGTTTCTCTTTCCACAGGTACCACGAAACATGTTGAGTTTCCGCAGTATTCTCTGTGTTTAATCTACATAAATGGTTTTGCATTAAATATCTTGAATTGCAGTCCTCTGGTAACTGACCCTGGTCAGTGGCTACAGTTTCTCCATCACCCCGCCTATTCCCGCCACTCCCTCCCCCACTGCTGTGAACAGCACCAGGAAATCTCTGGTTAAACTTTATTGCTCCAAAGAGAACATTTCCGGTCTCGGGAATCACTCCACTAAACGGGATTTCCTCATCCCTGGACGCGTTGCAAGGTGGCGGATTGTGAAGAGATTTTGGGAAAATATTGACAGTTGGAAGTTGGTGGGGTGGGGAGGCTGGGGGTGTGGGGTGGGGCGACGTTAAGGAAGCAAAACAGAAAACCAAGTCTTCAGCTTTTTGAGTCTTTAGAAACTCTTGGAAACCGGAATCACAGGAGAATGAAGAGTGAAATTTCCGACTGAGCACAAACAGTGAAGACATCTGCCCATTCTTTTAACGGCTGTGACATTGACTCTGATGTTCTCGGGACATGAACTGACTTGTGACATTGAAAGGATTCTCGTTCCTGCACATCAGGAATTCAAATCTCATCTCGGCTACGGGACAATGAGACAAACAAAAACTGCTGTAGAAACTCAACCGGTTTGGCAATACCTGTGGGATAAAACAGAGTTCTGAAACATTGACACTGATTCTCTGCCAGATCTGCTGAGCTTTTCCTGAAATTTATGTTTTTGTTTTTAAATGAATGTTTATCCCATCTGTTGGGATGAAACAGCCGGATCTACCATGTACTGAATTTAACCCTTTAGAAATCTGAGAAGTGATTGGATTCAAACAAACCGAGTCATGATTCACTCTTCCTCAGCTCCACACAGAGAGAGAGAGAGAGAGACCTGGAAAGCAGAGCCATTACTGCGACGTGTGTAGTCGTGGCCGAGTGGTTAACACGATGGACTGCAAATCAGTTGGCTATCCCTGCGCTATTTGAATACCGCCGACTACGGTTGAGAGCTGAAAGAGATTTGCTTATTGTGTTCTTGTTTGCGAAAGGTATTACAGGAGAGGCGGCCGACGAATATTTCACCCAAATCGGTGAAGAGGGACATATGTCAATCACTGCCTGTTAGAGAGCAAGAAGCAGAAAACCTCCCACGATTTAAGGTACTGCAGTGATTGGGTCGGTGAGTTTTCGAAATTGAAAGTTGCACGTGAGCAGCCTGTGAGACTATTTCAGCTCACTGTACTTTTTATATCCCAAATCACGGAAACAGATCTCGTTATCCAGAGAAGTTGCTTGTGTTCCACCAAAAGCTGCCTTTTTATCGCAGAAGCTTTTGCCTGGGGACGGAGAGCAGACGTGAAGCATATGGAGCAGGTATGATCCTGAGGTCTCTGTCACTCTCAGGGGTGTGCCCCTGTGTCTCCCTCTGTGGGTGAAAATGAGGATGAGTTCCTCAAGGGGGTATTAACACAATTTTACCATCTCGAACTTCAGGCCCATTTGTTGTGTTATTGGTCATCACAGGGATAAATGCATTGACATTTGCCTTCGTAAAGTCAAAGCACACAAGGCTATGGGCCAAATGCTGGAAACTGGGACTAGAATGGATGGAGGTTTGATGAGCTGCACTGAAACAATAGGCCAAATGCTCTTCTTCCATGCTGTTAAAAACTCAGAGACAGAGAAACCGATCTGCAGCGAATATGATCAGAAATGAAAACGTAAAAGCAGTGTCATTAAGAAAAGACACGAGCTACTCTGTTGTATTTCTTCATGGTCCAATGGTTAGGATTTAGCACTTTCAGCGCCGCTGTCTGGGTTCAATTTCCAGTCAGGGAATAGAAGTTCTGTTATGATAATTTATCGTGGTGCCAGCACTTCTGACTAATCAGGAGCTAGCAGCTCATCTGATTTGTCCCAAACGTTGTGCAGGTTAACATAAAACAAAGAACTGAGGCAATCTGACACAAAACAGAAATTGGTAGAGAAACTCAGTAGGCCTGGCAGTATCTGTCGAGAGAAACAGAGCTGACGATTCAGATCCACTGACCGTTCGTCCCGACGAGGTTAATTATGCATTTCTATATTATAATGTCGAGAGAAATTATTCGCTTTATCTGTCGAATCAACATATTTATCAAAATCGCTCTCTCATTAGCTTACTCACGCCAACTTTACAACTTTAAAAGGACTTCATCAGCTGTAATGCTGCTTCCGTTGCCATGAGATGGTGAAAGGCTCTGCTCAAATGGTTGTCTTTTTCTTTTCCTTTCTGTCAGTTAGCAGCCATGTCGAATGGAGAATTGGTCCTTTCAGTGTCTACCACAATATGCATCTCTATTTGTCTCTCTTTGACTCTGTGTATCCACCTCACCACCTTTCACATTCTCCGACATTCCATTGTCCACATCCCCCATTTGCCATTTCCACTATTTGAAAAGTCTGAAATTCGGAAACACTTTGAGAGTGGAGTGTCTAGTACTGGGCTCGCATTCCTTGGATAATGTGTCTGTCTGTTATGACTGAGGTAAGGAGTCATTTCTTGTCTCAAAACATTGTGAATCTTCAGAATTCAAAATAGAATTCCTAATCCACCAGAAAAAAAAAACAATGACACCACAATTATAATATTATAGTGATGTCTTTACTGTTGGTGTAAAAATGAATGAGGGTGATCTTTTCAAAGAGCAGAAATGGGGAATGAGGGATGTGGACAATGGAGTGTCGGAGAGTGTGAGAGCGGGTGAGGTGGATACACAGAGTCAAAGAGAGACAAATGGAGACACATATTGTGGTAGACACAGAAAGGACCAATTCTCCATTCGAAATGGCTGCTAACTGACAGAAAGGAAAAGAAAAATGTCTGTGCCATTCCCACAACATTCCCTGGTAAGGCTACTGTTTATCCAGCCTCACCTCGTCATTCCGTCCAAACTGTGAATGAAGGGATGAAAATACAAGAAAACGAGAAGCAGAAGTGCTCGTGGAACAGCAGAAAGGAACTTCATGGTGAATCGAGCAGACAAAGAGGAGACACTGAAGCAGCCTCCTGACGACAAATGTATTTACTTTGCCAGTAAAACTCACGGCTTCACAAATCAGGGACCTTGAAGTGAAGCCGTGACGGTGATTATCTTTGTTGGTTGTTTACGCTGTGAATGTCACCGTTCTTGCTCATGTCCGTGCTACTACCACAACTCTACTGCATGTAAGCATCACACATAAACTGGTGATAGCTTCTGAAAACAGAAAGGCCTCCAGCTGCGCAATGAGGCTGACTCCCTGCATTAGGAGCTTTTGCAGAGCCTAATGTTAACAGGTTCTGTTTTGCAATTGGTCAGTGCATTCGGATATTGAGAGAAAGACTGGTGTTTTGAGACTATCCAGGAATGCAACCTTTTGTGTTTTCCTACTCATCGACATTTCCAGTGACACAGAAGATTGTCAATCGGAATTGTACCTTCAGGAGATAACTTCGAAACTTTGTCTGCTGCACAGTTATCCAGTCAGACCCCGGACATACAGGTTTTAATACAGTTATTATCAAAATGTACCTTCATTTAATTCATAGAAATCTATGAAGAGATTGGAATCAAATAAACCCATGAACGATTTTCTCTTCCCCTGCTCCACACGGAGTGAGACAGGGACAAGCAGCAGGATTTGACCCCGCACTCTCCAATCGTCCGCTGCCAGCAGAAAGCGGCCACTGCAGATTTAATCAGCCGCTTCGTGTCCATCCTTGGGAGGCAAGATGCCCCAACCGGGGCCAAGCCTCTCAATGCACCAAGCACAGGCTCAGGAAAATACAGGGAGATTCCATACCGCTCAGTAGACTTCAGAGCAACATTGACACAATCTCCAAGTAAGTGGAACTTACTCTGAGCCTCACTTGGGAAACCTCATTTGATACAACGAGTGGAAACCTGTTCCTTCTGAAAGTTGTTCTCGTGTGGAAGAGGGCGAAAATCATTTTACATTTCACAACGGCTGCAGCAAATTCTTCTTGACCTTCGAATCTTTTTAACCAAACTGTGAAAATCCAGTCCCCAGATGCGAAGCTGCAGAATTTGCTGATGTACCGAACAAACGAAGTGCTGAATGTATTGAGTGAGACTGGGCAGACAGACACGCATTTCACACAGTCTGTAACAGAAATGACTGGGTTTATTGAAGCAGATTCACCGTCTCTCAAAGTGACTGACAGTCGCATGGGCAACTCAAGGATGAGGGCACCGACATTAAAATATGAATTTTGAATGTTAAATCCCGGAACAAACGCTGAAAATGGATTATAATGGTCTGACGGTGTAACAGCTGAAAAGTGGAAGATGTAACTGATGTTATTTGTGATTGAGAGGAATGAACTGGAAACTTGTGATTTTCCAGGTGGATCATCTTTGGCACATTGAAATTCGGTTGCAAGGGATTTGGCTCAGTGTGAAATAGGAAAATAAGTACCCATCACTTGAGCCCGCCTAGCTCAGTCGGTAGGGCATGAGATTCTCAATTTCACGGTTGTGGGTTCGAGCCCCACGCTGGGCACCTTCACTTCTTGCAACTTTACTTTCTGAGGTGAAGGCCAGCTATTCAGTCCTCCAACATCATTAGTGAAACCAGCAGCTTGAGCTGTGCCGAAAACATGGTTTCTCTTCTGCTGCTTTGATTAAGGCACTGGTTTCCTGTCTTAGAGGACAAATTGTTTCCACTTCACGGGAAGTCCCAGAGATCAGCTTGTAGGTGCAGCCGCTTGTATAATAAATGACAAGACTTTTAAAGGGGCAAACCCAACTCCAATCCTACACCAACAAGACTGTTCAGAGTCACAGAATGAGAATGGTCACTTCCTGGGCGGTTCCATGTCAAATGGAGCTGAACCAGAATTACCTAATTCTGAGGATACCACGGAAAGCATCAATGAAATCTCCCTCAACGTGACCCAATTCATAAGGAAAATTATCTTCTTTTGTGACCGTGTGGGTTTATTCAATAAAATCTTCATTCTCGGTAAGAGAGGGGAAAAATTGTGAGTTTTCAGTGTGTGACAGAAGTGATGTGGGTGAACCCGGAAATATGGTGCAGTCATGTGTTCTTTATCGAAGCATAATCTCCTTTCGCACAGGCACATTATATTTGTTGCTCAACCGAATCTCACAAGATGCGTTCAGATTTGCGTTGATATTGGTTTTGATTGCAGGGCTATCGGCATCTGGCGCGAAACAGATATTGTAACTGGGCATAACTAAGCAGCAAAGAAAATGGACAAGGGGATGGGGTTCCTTGCAAGAATTTCCGGGTGCCTTTGTATCAGTTGTGTGCACTAGCATCATTGGAAAATGTCATATGTGAGCTTTGTGGTTAGGGTATGGTGATATGGCCAAGCGGTTTAAGCTGCTAGATTCAAGTTTCAATCTTGGAAAAGGTGTGGGCTTGAATCCCACTGTGGTTACCTGTTATACCGAAGCTGCGTTTAACTTCCTTTTGTTTTCCCCAAAGTAATCTTTGACGTGGGACAGCACAACAGCCTCCATCGGGTCAGCGTCCACGGCATGTTTCCATGGTGCAGTAGTTATCGCGTGCGGAATGCCCCCAGCATGATAGTGGGAACAAGCAGGCTGTGCTGCTACGCCATGTCCCAGGCAAGTTGCGATGCTCACCCTATTCGCTGAAAGTGAATGCAGATCGTTATTTTGCTGCTGGAGTGAAACAAAATCCTGTATTGAGTCTACTTGCGGTTATTTGCCTTTTCTGGCGAAAAGGAGGGTATTGCGATGTGAAATTTCTCCTATTTCCTTCATTTCTGTTCTGGAGAAGGGAGCTGATGAGCCACCTTCTTGATCCGCTGCAATCGTTGCGGTGCAGGCACACCCGCATTGTTGATCAGAAGGGAAACCTCATCTATGCGAGACTGTGATTGCTCGCGTTCACTTTTCGTGGGTCATTCTTACTCTTATTCTTTTCATTTCCTGACTTGAGCTGTTTCCGGTAAGTGGCGAATGATTAAACCTCCAGTGTATTTGGAGGAGCAGTTTGGAAATGCCCCAGGGTACTGGGGTATTGGCATCTGGTGGGAAATTGATATTGTAGCTCGGCCTAACCGAGCAGCTAAGAAAATGGATGAGGAGGACAGGCTTCCTCGAAGCCCTTACCGGTGCCTTCGCTTTTGTTGTGTTCCGGCAGCAACATCGCAAAAATCAGTTTTGAGACAATCGCTCGTATAACATGGTGTCGTGTGCCCTCTGGTATTTGCTCTTGCCCAGAAATGGAAATCTTCGCCAGAATACTGACCAGCTAAGCAGAAAGACAGAGAAAGTGAAAGAAATTATGATAATGTTGTTCGCGCCTGGACTGCCTGTCGAACAATTTCGCAATGGGATCTGCCGTTCTCGGATTCTATATCTGCTTACCATTCGAGACGAAGGATTTTTTTTTTTCGGAGCCACTTATTTTGCATCACAGGCTTAATAACTGTCAGTTTGTTGCACGGTATCATCTTGTAAGCGACTCACTCAGCTTTGTGCATTTTGCCTGCAGTCCAGTGCTGATCATATTTCACTTACACCGGAAAGTTATTCTGGTTTGAACAAGGGACCGAGTCATATTCCAACGTCAAAATGTAAATCCCAGAAATGTCGTAGAGCTCGTATTTTCTTTATCGGAATATACATTCTCACAGACACAGCATTTGTTGGCCACCAAGTCTCAAAATATACGTTCAGCTTGCCATTCATTTTTGTTTTGATTGAAGGGCTGCAGGTATTTGTTGCAGCACATATCACACCCGCGAAGGTATAGGAGGAGTAGAATGGGGATCGATATAAACCAGTGACTAATCAACCCAGAGCCCGATGTAGAATAGTGAACATTCGGCCCCAGTGCCTCATGTTAGACCGAGACCACACTCCCCTCGAGCCCAGTATAAACCAGTGAACTTTCTCCCAGAGTCCGATATAAAACAGTGAACATTCTCTCGCAGAACTCAACATAAAAGAGTGAACATTATACCCCAGAGCCCGGTATGAAACGGTGACCTTTCTCGTCCAGAGCCAAGTATAAAATATTGACACCCGATAATCCTCATAAACCCGCATTTAGCATGGCTTGCCAACCTGACCTGCACATCCCCGCATACAACGGGGCAATTTCCCATAGCAATTATATGAATTATATAAAGCCAAAAACAGTAAAGGCTTGTTGGATTAGTGGTATGATGCTTGCATAGGGTACTATGCAGTGTTAACATGCGAGAGGTCTTGGGTACAACTCCTCGATGAGCCCAGGTATGTTATTTCACTTTTGTGGGAGGGGGGATTACGATGCTTTCAGGCAAGAACTTCGGAGAGGAATTTGTGAATAGATGTTCTCAGAGAAATGCACGACAGAAATGTGGAGGTTGTTTCGGGAGCACTTGCTACAGCTAATGGATAGGTTTGTCCCACTGAGGCAAGGAAAGGATGGTAAGGTGAAGGAGCCTTGGATGATGAGACGTGGAATGTCTAGTCAAGAGGAAGAAGGAAGCTTACTTAAGGTTAAGGAAACAAGGATCGGACAGGGCTCTCGAGGTCGACAAGGTCACCAGGAAGGAACTGAAGAATGGACTTAGGAGAGCAAGAAGGCGGGTATGGCAGGTAGGATTTAGGAAAATCCCAAGGCATTCTATTATGTGAGGAACAAGAGGACGGTCAGAGTAACGGTAGTGCCTATCAGGGATAGTGGAGGCAAATTGTGTGCAGAGTCGGATGAGGTCGGGGAGGTCCTGAATGAATACATTGCTTCAGTATTCACCAGTGAGAGGGACCTTAACATTTGTGAGGAGAGCATGAAAAATGCAGATACGCTCGAACAGGTTGATGTTAGGAAGGAGGATGTGCTACAAATTTTGAAAAACATGAGGATAGATAAGTCCCCTGGGCCAGATGGGATATGCCCAAGTTTACTACAGGAAGCCAGGGAAGAGAATGCTTCGCCTTTGGCGATGATTTTTGTGTCCTCACTCTCCACTGGAGTAATACCAGATGATTGGAGGGTAGCAAATGTTATTCCCTTGTTCAAGAAAGGGAATAGGGATAATCCTGGGAATTACAGAACAGTCAGTCATTCTGTGGTGGGCAAATTATTGGAGAGGATTCTGAGAGACAGTATTTATGATTATTTGGACCAGCACAATTTGATTAGAAATAGTCGATGTGGCTTTGTGAGGGGCAGGTCATGCCTCACAAGCCTTATTAAATTCTTTGAGGATGTGGCAAAATACATTGATGAAGATCGAGCAATGGATGTGGTGCATATGGATTTTAGATAAGCATTTGATTAGTTTCCCCAAGATGGGCTCATTTAGAAAGTTAGGAGATATGGGATTCATGAAAATTTGGCTGTCTGGATACAGAATTCGCTGTCCAATAGAAGCCAGATGGTTGCAATAGATGGAAATTTTTTAGCCTGGAGCTTGGCAACTAGTGGTGTTCTGAAAGAATCTGTTCTGGGAACCCCACTCTTTGTGATCTTTATAAATGACTTGGATGAGGAAATGGAAGGGTGGGTTAGTAAGTTTGATGATGTCACGAAGGTTGGTGGCATGGAGGATAATGTGAAGGGCTGTTGGAGGTTGCAACGGGACATTGACAAGATGCAAAGTTGGGCAAAGAAGTGGCAGATGTAATTCATCCTGGAAAAGTGTGTGGTGATTCATTTTGGAAGGTCGAATTTAAATGCAGAATATAGGGTTAATGGCAGGATTCTTGGCAATGTGGAGGAACAGAGGGATCTTGGGGTCCACATCGATAGACACCTCAATGTTGCTACCGAAGTTAATACGATTGTTAAGAAGGTGTATGGTGCGTTGGCTCTCATTGGCAAGGGAATTGAGTTGAAGAGCCGCAAGGTTATGCTTCAGTTACTTAAAACCCTGGTTAGACCTCACTTGGAATATTGTGTTCAGTTCTGATCGCCTCATTACAGGAAGGATGTGAAAGCTTTAGAGCGGGTGCAGAGGAGATTTACCAAGATGTTGCCTGGACTGGAGGGCAGATCTTATGAAGAAAGGCTGAGAGAGCTAGGGCTTTTCTCTTTGGAGCGAAGAAGGATGAGATGTGACTTGATAGAGGTATATAAGATTATGAGGGGCATAGATAGAGTGGATACCCAGAGACCTTTTCCCAGGGCGGAAATGAGTATTACGAGGGGGCATAATTTTCAGGTGATTGGAGGAAGGTATAGTGGAGATGTCAGAGGTAGGTTCTTTAAACAGACAGTGAATGCGTGGATTACACTATCAGCGGTGGTCGTCAATTCAGATACATGATGAACATATAAGTGAGTCTTGGATAGACACATGGATGATCGTAAAATATAGAGCATACAGGGTAGTTTGATCTTAGAGTAGGATAATAGGTCGGCACAACATCGTGGGCTGAAGGGCCTGTGCTGTACTGTTCTATGTGTTCAATTCACCCAGCCTCATAAGTTTAGCCCGTGGGAAGAAACTGAGCCACTCTGACGCAGACATGAGACCGTGCAAACTCCACGCAGACATCAGCTGAAGGTGGGTCCCTTTTGCTGAAAGGCCGCAACAGGGCTCAACCCTCCCCGGCGGGAAATTGAACGCCGCTGTTCTGCGTGACAGGCAGGGATACTAGCCACTACACTACCGAGGACCACAGCCACAAAGCCCCCTTATGCCCTTTACGCGTGCACCAATCAAGTACAATCGCTTAAGTATCCAAATTCTATTCCTGTTGCTCAGCCCATCGCCGTCAATCCCTTAGCATCAAAAATTCACATCTGAATGTTTCTTAAAGTCATCAGGATATCTGCCTCTCGGACACTTACAGGCAGTGGCTTCCAGATTCCAAACATCCACTGGCTGGAAGCGTTTTTCCGCAAATTTACTCAAAACTTCCTTCCTCTTACATTAAATCTATGGCCCCTGGTGATCGACCCTCCATCAAGGGGAAACGTTTACATGAGTCTACCCTATCAATATCACTCATTATTTTGTACATTTCCTCTGTTCTAAGGAAAACAACCACAGTCTGTTCAATCTCTCTTAATAAGTGAAACTCTTCAGCCCAAACAATATCCTGGTAAATCTCTTCTGCACCGTTTCTAGTGCTATCACATTCCCGCAATAATGTGAATGACAGAACTGCACACAATGCTCTCGCTGTAGCTGAATGAACAAATGAAAGAAATAATGTTGAAAACCAAAAAAACTGGTCTTTTCCGATGAAGTCTATTTTGCTCAATATTGCCCTGTGTGGTTTTCCTGAGTCTGATGCTCCAATAATTATTGGTCCATTTCAATAAATGCTGCGACACGAGTTTTGATCTCACAATCGCAGCATCTAAATGGATCATCTGGCGTAAAGTTCCCGGTGGTGAGACGGGCCACGTTCACAACACTGACGGCAACAGGACAGAGTGAACGATATCAATGTGAAAATGGATGTTCGATCGTGCAGTGAAGTGGAAGGAGGGATATAAAGGAGAGTTGGTGATTGTGGGAGGGAGAGAAATCTCCAAGTGGTGAGTTTGAATTCTGATACATCAAACGCAGATATGTGAGAGAGCGCGGGTTGAGAGATGATTGTCACCACCTCAAAAAATATTTTCACGTAAGAATGTTCGATAGTTTGCCGCATTTCTGTCGCACGTGTCACAAGGAATAAAAACATTGCAGCAAACAACCACCCAGTGCCGTGACTGGGATTCTAAACAAGGTTACTACAGCCAGAAAGCTCAGCACAAACCATTATATGATTACGGTGCTACACAAAACAGCCTGCTTAGGCAGAGCAACAACTACATTGTCAGGAATACCACCAGATCCACAATAGGAATTCCTTCCAAGTAGTGCACTTTAATATGGGCGTTCACAGAGGGGTGGAATCTGTAACTTCGACGCTCCCAGAGGCTGTGGAAACTCCATAATTGAGTTTGTTGAAGACTGAGATTGACAAATTTCGACAAAACATCAAAGACTCAGACGAGAATACAGGATGTTGTTGCATTGTATTTTTCAATAGCAATGCAGTTTAACATCGGTTACTTCACCAGTTCCCTCTCACCAGGAAGTAACCATTGCTGCAGACGACCATATAATCCCAGTTCCCAGGCCCGGAATCGGAGAAACTCAGTGGCGCAGCCGCAAAGATACAACCGGAAATGGGGATGGCAGTGAGCGCGAGGAGCTGCTCTGTGGCTCCAGTGACGCAATCGGTGAGCGCGCGGTCCTTCTGTGACGGTATAGAGGCGCGTGAAATGCCGAGGCTGTGAGCTCCAACCTCACCCGGAGCAGCTTTTATTGACATGGAGCAGGGATTATTGGGGCATCACCTTGGGGAAATATCATACAGCAATGTTGAGCAAAACGGAATTTATTAGAAAAAATCAGTTTCTGAATTTGGGCAGTGTTCTGTCCCAGGGAAATTTCTCAATTATCAATCAAAAAGCTGCAAATATTCCCCAAGTGAAGAACCATCTGTGGACAGAGAAACAGAGTTGGGGTTTTAGCTCAATGACCATTCTCATATTTTGATTCCCCCACTGATTTAAATTCTGGGAATGGCTGTTTAGTCTGTTCCATATTATTCACTTCCCTGCAAACTCGCAGAAGTCATTATAACAATCGAAAGGAATGCGGTTTATCTCAATGGGCCTTTTGAATGTTGTCATGAAATTTGGCGCCAACTTGAAAAGAAAATTTAAGTGCTGTGGTAAGGAGCAGTGAGTTCTGGAGAGCTAAACCAAACAGCTCAGTTCTTTTGCAATTTATAATAGTTCACGTGGAACAGGCTGCCGCACCTGTGAAAACTATGGGCTCTTTTTATACTTAGTCTTATTCGGTTACACTTACCAAGTTGTCACACTTGCCTTTTAAAAGAAATCTGGAATCAGCTTTTTTTTTCTCGAAAATCATTCCCTATTTGAATAGCTCTGACTAAATAAAAATGTTGCTCCAAACTTTTCTTTATCGTTCACCGTTGACTTTGAATCTCTGAACTATTGTTATTGACTGATTCGAAATGGGGTATTTCCCACTGACCTGCTCTCACCAACCTCCCACCATCTGGTAAATTGGCAATAGGTCACCACTCAGTCTTTTCTGTTTTCCACCCGCGTGATCCTTCACCATTTCCCTCAGCCCAATAAACCCCGTCCTTCAAAAATGTCGTTATATCGGAGTAAACCCTATCTGTGTCCTTTCTAACGTCTTTAAGTCAGAGTAAATCCCGTTCCTGTTTTTTTATTTATGCCGTCTTTATATACCAGTAAACGCCATCCATATTCGTTCTGATGTCTTACATCCAAGTAAGCCCTGTCTTCTGAAAGCTTGCTGGGTCCAACAACCCAAATTCTATGCATCACATTTCTCCTCTGTGCTGTCCAATTTCACTAGTGCTGCAGGAAAGGTATTTGCTGCTCCAGCAGTCAAATCTGAATGAATTTACTCTGTATCTTCCTCAGCTTCCTCAATACAGTGAACACTTCAATTCGAAACAATTCTATCAACTGATTTTCATCCCACAGACATAAGTTGCCAACTTCGAGCACACCACGCCGTTCAATGAGATCACGAATGACCTTCTACTTCAACACTATTTTGCTGCACTATCCCATGAGCTCTTAATGTTTTTAATATGTAGAAATCTATTCATCTCAATCTTTTACAGATTCAACACGGAGCTTTCATAACCTCTCAGACCACGAATTGCAAAGATTCCTGCCATTCTGTGTTCCCCATCTCAATCTGCTGTTTGGCAATTATTCATATTGTGCGTCTGGTGCTGCTCCTGGCATACTCTCTGGCACCGCAATTATTTTTCACTTTCCTTGCAGTCGATATGTGGCGCCCTGTTTGCGTTGTAATTAATACACTATTCCGGCCATAGCAATCTCGGCTCGAATTCGAGTCACGGCCGTGCCTGCTCGTCCCGCCTTTTCCTCCTAATAGGTGCTAAAGAAACATATTAAGGGATCAATTAATGTTGCAAGAAGACACACAGAGACAGATGTGTGAAACGCCGACGTTGCGACATCAAGCCTTGCCCAGAGTAGCTTTTATGAATATTAAACCAATAATTCTTGAAGCATCATGTTCAGGAAAATGACAAACAGCGATGTTAACCGAAACACACTCCGTTGGAAGACGTTAGTTGCTGTGGCGTTTTGCGTTGTTTAGTTCATTTGTCAGTTTTGCCTGTTTCGGAGTTATAAATTGGCCGCTCTGAATACGTGCGGGACGTTAATATCTGTCCGGAAGAGAGGTAAGCCCAATACTGAATCCTGGGAACAACACTGTGTATTCTCCTCGAGTCTGGAAAACAATTTCTCACAGACAACGGAGATAGTAGGAACTGCAGATGCTGGAAAATCTGAGATAACAAAGTGTAGAGCTGGATGAATACAGCAGGCCAAGCAGCATCATAGCCGACGTTTCCTTGACCCTTCATCATTTCTGATGAAGGGTCCAGGCCCGAAACGTCAGCCGTTTCTGCTCGGCCTGCTGTGTTCATCCAGCTCCACACCTTGTTTCCTCACAGACAACGTTACGTACCCGCTGTCACGGGGCTTTTCATTCCATCGGCTTCAATTCTTCACAGAATTCGATCCTACAGATCATGACCCTGAGCATTTCTTTTTAAATTTGTGCTTCACTTACGTGAGGACGTCATACCATACACGAAGAGTCGTACTCTGCTGTTTATCATTTTCCTGATACCAGGAGAAGTATCTGCTGCTCTGCGCAATTTACTCAGCTGTTTGAAGATATGAGATAAACATGATGCAGTAGCGTCAGTGACGAGATGGCCGAGAGGTTAAGGCGATGGATTACTAATCCATTGTGCTTTGCACGCGTGGGTTCAAATCCCACCTACGTCGCTGTTTATCAACCTTTCCTTCTGTTGCATTTTATGCGTTTCTATCGAACGTCGCTGAAATCCACTTCTTGTCAGTCTGTCTGACGAAAGAATCTTGAACAGTCGGCGTTATAATAAAGTCTAAATTAATCACTTTTGCCAAGACTTGCAATCAGTTTTCGAGAAAGCAGCCTCATTAAATGAGGTCGGACTGGTTGACGTGGGGATGGGGCAGAGCTATCATAGTATCGAACACGGCAAAGGAAAACACGTATTAAAAGCAAAAACAAGTGTTTCATAAAGTGCGCACGCACAATTCTACTCCGAATGAATCCTCCAGCTGCATTGTTGCTCAGTTCTGGACGTGAAACATCCGGAAGCGTGGAGGTGGAGTGATCGGAGACAACGCTGAATAGGTTCCCGTGAATAGTGCCGTGTATGAGAAATGTCAGCAATGAAGACAGATTGGAAAGTTGAGACAGTTCTCCTTGGAGACTGAAAGCTGGTCTGATTGAAACTTTCCAAGACATGAGGGCTATGGACAGAGGAAATAAGAGGGTGAGAATGCTCCCATGTCTGAAAGGATCGAGAATGGTTAGGCACAGATTTAAAGCCATTAGGAAAAGAAATAAAAGTGCTATGGGGAAGAACGTTTACACACAGGGAGTGGTAACGTCCTGGAAAACACTGCCTGAGAGTTACAGAGTCAGACTCAATCGATATAAAAGGGAATTAAATGGTTATGTTAAAAATAACAATGTGCAGAGTTGGAACAAAATATCCTTTGTTGTCACGAGCATTCAATATAAAAATACTGTGGAAAGTGTGTAACGTCACTTGTACATAGGCGTCATTTACACTGACTTAGAATAAAATTTGAAAAAAATAAATAAAGAGAATCCAACTTTTCATTCTCCAGTATTACGGCATACCGCCGCCGAGAGTGTCCCTCACTGGGCTTCCCAGCCCACGCCATGCCGCCGAGAGTGTCCCGCTTACAGTTACAGGAAGAAGGCAAGTGAATGAAACCAAAAGAGACACGCATTTCTTCATTGTGGAGAGCCGGCATCGCTAAGGTGAGCTGCATGGCTCCACCTGAGCTGTGACATTTTTTTGTTTCTGAGTGAAATTAGAGTTGGTAGAGTCATAGAGTGGTAGAGATATACAGTACGAACACAGACCCTTCGGTCCAACTCGCCCATGCCTCCCAGATAACCTAAAGTAATGTAATCCCATTTGCCAGCATTATGGCCAGATCCCTCTAATTCCTTCCACTAATATACCCACCTAGATGCCTTTTAAATGTTGTAATTCTACCAGCATCCACCACTCCCTCTGGCAGCTCGTTCCAGACACGCACCACCCTCTGCATGAAACAATTGCCTCTTAGGTGCCTTTTAAATATTTCCCCTCTCACGTTAAACCTATGCCCTTTAGTTTTGGACTTCCCGACCCCGAGGGCAAGACCTTGTCTACTTACCCTATCAATGTCCCCCATCATTTGATAAAACCTCTATAAAGTCACCCCTCAGCCTCCGACATTCCAGTGAAAATAGCCCCAGTCTATTCAACGTCTCTCGATAGCCCAAAACCCGCCAACCCTGGCAACATCCCTGTAAATATTTTCTGAACTCTTTTAAATTTCATAACATCCTTCCTGTAGCGGGGAGACCAGAATTGAACACAGTATTACAAGAGTGGCCTAACCAATGTCCTATACAGCCGCAACTTCCAAGGAACTATGAACCTGCACTCCAAGGTCTCTTTGTTCAGCAACACTCCCCAGGACCCCACCATTAAGTGTCTAAGTACTGCCCTGATTTGCCTTTCCAAAATGCGGCACGTCATATTTACTTAAATTAAACTCCATCTGTCAATCCTCGGCACATTGCCCCATCTGATCAAGATCAAGTTGCACTCCGAGGTAACCTTCACTGTCCACTACACCTCCAATTTTGGTGTCATCTGCAAATTCACTAACCATAACTCCTATCTTCATATCCAAATCATGTTCATAAAAGGACAAAAAGCAGTGGATCCAGCGCCAATCCTTGCAGCACACCGCTTGTCACAGACCCCCAGTCTGAAATGTAACCTTCTGTCACCATCATTTTGCCTTCTACTTTCGAGCCAGTTCTGTATCTAAATGGCTACATTTCCCTGTATTCCATGTGATCCAACCTTGCTAACTCATCTACTGTGAGGAACCTTGTCGAACGCTTTATTGTGTCCATATAAATCACGTCCACCACTCTACTCCATCATCAGTCCTCTTTGTTACTTCTTCAAAAGACTCAAACAAGTTCGTGAGACACGATTTCCAACGCACAAATCCATATCGATTATCCCTAAACAGTCCTTGCATTTCCACATGTAAATCCTGTCCCTCAGGATTCCCTGCAACAACTTGCCCATCACCAATGTCAGGCTCACCAATCTATAATTCCTGAGCTTCTCCTTACGACCTTCCTTAAATAGTGGCTGCACTATAGCCAATGTCCAGTCTTCTGGCACCTATTCTTTAGCTGTCGACGATATAAATATCTCAGCAAGTGACCTAGCAACTATTTCCCTGGCTTCTCACAGAGTTCTAGGGTGCACGTGATCAGGTCCCAGCGGTTTATCCAGCTTTATGCCTTCGTAAGATGTCCAGCACATCCTCCTCTGCAATTTGGACATTTTTTTCAAGTTGTCGCTATCTATTTCTCCACGTTCTCTATCTTCCAAGTCAGAAATCACACGACACCAGGTTATAGTCCAACAGGTTTATTTCAAAACACAAGTATCAGACACAAATTTATAAGTAAAAGATCAAAGGGTCACACCACTAATGAGGATGCACTGAACAAACCTGTTAAAGCTTTAATCAGTCAGAAGGTTTTAATTAATTAATATGTCTATGTAAATCTCCGAATTACTTTGAAGACACTGGCATGCGAGATCTGAAGGTTTTATCAGTGTCCTCCTTCTAACTGATTAAAGATTTAACAGTACCTTAGTGTTGTGTAGTACATCCTCATCAGTGGCGTGAACCTTTGATCTTTTACTTATAATTTTTGTGTCTGATACTACCTCTCTCACCAACACCTGAAGAAGGGAAAAAAAAACTCTGAAAAGCTTGTGTTTTCAAATAAACCTGTTGGACTATAACCTGGTGTCTTGCGATTTCTGACCTTGTCCACCCCAATCCAATACCGGCACCACCACATCACGTCTATCTTCGAAACCCTTCTACACAGTAAAACTGTTGTATAGTAATGGTTTACTATCTCCCCCATCTCCGGCGGTTCCACACATAGGCGGCCTTGCTGACCTTTAAGGGGCCATACTCTGTCCCGAGTTATCTTTTCGTCCATAATGTATTTGTCGAATTCCTTCGGATTCTCCTTAACCCTATTTGCCAAAGCTATCTCATGACCCTTTTTGCCCTCCTGATCTCCCTCGTAAGTATACTCCTACTGCCTTTACAGTTTTCAGACATTCTTTCGATCTCTGTTGTCTATACCAAACATATGCTTCCCCCTTCCTCTTTATCAAAACCACAATTCCTGCAGTCATCCAGCATTCCTTACACCTCCCAGCCTTGCCCTTCACCTTAACAGGAACATACTGTCTCTGGATTCCCGTTGTCTCATTTTTGAAGGCTTTCCATTTTCTACCATCCCTTTACCTGCAAATACCCACCGCCAATCAACCTTTGAAGCTTCTTGCCTAATACTCTCAAAATTGGTCTTCCTCCAATTAAAACGTTAACTTTTAGATCCAGTCTATCCTTTTCCACAACTGTTTTAAAACTAATAGAATTAGGGTCGCTAGCCCCAAAGTGCTCCCCCACCGACCCCTCAGTCACCTCCCTTGCCTTATTTCCCAAGAGTAGGTCAAAAGTTACACCTTCTCTCGCAAGAACATCCACGTACTGAATCAGAACACTTTCTCGTGTATGAACAACAGAATGTGGGAAGTTAGACAAAGGTTATATTGACTCAGCTGGGACACATTGCAGAACAGAATATCACACAATAATACTAAAGATATTTTGAAATCATCTCGAAAGTGCATGTTGCACGCCAGATGGAAAACTGAACAGTCCTCGGAATCACTGCGTAATTTCTTTATCATGATGTGGAGGTGCCGTGATGGGCTGGGGTGGACAAAGTCAGAAGCCGCACGACACCAGGTTATAGTCCAACACATTTATTTGAAATCATAAGATTTCGGAGAGCTGATCCTTCGTCAGGTGAAGTCTGGACACTTCAGTTATTCCCCACGCTGTTTCAGACAGCAGTGTCCAACAGGTCAAATAATTTTGTCAAATGAAGAATTGAAACAAATAAGTATCCGTCATTGGATTTACTGACACAGTTTATAAACTTCAGGCTCACCCTTAATGGGGACAGGGGCCGTCAGACTGTGGTTTCCGTTCCTGCTGTTGAATAATGATTGCTTTAACTGTGTTCAGTGACAGGTTGTTGTTTGGAAACATTTCTTTCTGAACTCACTGTCACTTTGCGATTAGAAAAGGAGCTGGAATCTCCTGATCGACTGAAACATAAAATTGGGTGTCTGTACATTAAGTCCTAAAATATCAGTGGAATGTTTATTCACACCGCGCTATCACCAATTGAACGAAACAGCTGCTCAGAGGAAGACGGCTGTATATTTGAACCCCACGGTAAACAGTTCACGGTTTACTTCTCAAACTGAGGGAAATGGGCATTTCATACAATCATCATAGAAGCCGCATAGTTTGAAAACAGGCCATTCGACCCAAACCCCCATAACCCAGCAAATCTCCACGTGCCTGAACACTACGGGTACTTTAGCATGGCTTATCCATCCAGTCTACACATCTTTGCACTGTAGGAGGAAACCCACACAGACAAATGCCCAGCGGTAAAATCGAACCCACGTAACTGGGGCTATAAGCCAGCGGTACCCATCACTGAGCCACCGTGCAGCCCTCACAATGCTTGCCCAACCAATGGATACACCACAAGCCTGAAACATGAAACACAACTGAAT